CCTAGGTTTTTCTTGTTAATAATTTCTAGTTTTGTTCCACTGTGGTCAGAAAAGAACTTGATATGATTTCTACTTTTTTGAATTTGTTGAGACTTGTTTAGTGGCCTAAGATATGATGTAGTCTACAGAATGTTTCATGAACTGACAAAAGAGTGGATATTGTATAGCAGTCAGGTAAAATGTTATGTAGATGTCAGTTAGGCCTTTAGGTCTAGAGTGTCATTTAACTCTGATATTTATTTGTTGATTTTTTTTTTTAATCTGGATGATGTCCATTACTGAGAGTGGGGTGTTAAATTTCCCTATTATTATTGTATTGCAATCTGCCTCTTTATTAATATACCTAATCAATTAATGTTTGCTTTATATACTTTGGAGCTTTGATGTTGGGTACATAGATATTTATACTATATTCTCTTGATGAATTGACCTTTTTATCATTATACAGTGACATTCTTTGTCTTTTTTTACAGTCATTGATTTGTAATTGATTTTATCTAACTCTTAGCTTCATTGAATTTTTATAGTATAGCTACTCCTTTTTTTTGGTTTCTAGTTGCAAAGAATATCATGTTTCACCCCTTTGCTTTTACTCTGTGCTTTTATTGGTGAAGTGGGTTTCTTCTAGGTACCATATAGTTGGATCTTTTTTCTTTATTTATTCAATACTTTATGCCTTTTAATTGGAGAATTGGGTCCATTTATAGTCAATGTTATTATTGATAAGAATGAACTTATTACTCCCATTTTGTTGCTTGCTTTCTGTTTTGTTGCTTTGTAATTCCTCTCTTTCTTTCTGTCTGTCTTTTTTTGTAGCTAAGTGATTTCATTTGACAGCATGGTTTTTAAAAAATATTTTATTTTAAAGATGTGGGGTACAATTCAGAATTAGGTATACATGTGGACATCATACAGGTAAAGTTTGGGCCTCCCTTTGGTCCCCACTTTGCCTGGTTTGAGATCAGGTACCCTTATTGATGTTATATCCCTGATAGTATGTTTTAATTCAGTGCTTTTTATTTTTAGTAAATCTATTACAGGTTTTTGCATTGTGGTTACCATGAGGCTTAAAAAATATATTGATATAACACATTATTTTAGAAACACACAAAGAAAAAAATGAAAAGAAAATGCCCTTCCACACTTTAACTTCATTCTTCCCACCCACATTTTGACATTTAGTTGTCAATTTACATGTTTTTATTACCTACATCTTAACAGGTTGCTGTTACTATTATTGCTTCTGATAGATTTGTCTTTTTGGTTTCATAACAAAGTTATGAGTGGATCACACACCATAATGATAGTATTAGAATACTTTAGGTTTTTTTGTGTTTAATTTATCAGTGAGTTTTATAATTTCAAAAACTTTTCCTTTCAGATTGAAGAATTCCCTTTACCATTTCTTGTAAGATGGATCTGGTGGTTGTGAATTCTCTTAGGTTTTCTAAGAAAGACTTTAATCTTTCCTTTATATTCGAACTTTGCTGGACACAGTATTCTTGAATGGCGACTTTTTTCTTTCAGCACTTTGAAAATGTCTTTCCAGTCCTTTCAGGCCTGCAGGGTTTCTTTTGAGAAGTCTATTGCCAGACAAATTGAAGCTCCTTTATATACTATTTGCTTCTTTTCTCTTGCTGCCTTTAAGATTTTTCTGGCCAGGTTCAGTGGCTCAGCCTGTAATCCCAGCATTTTGGGAGGCTGAGGTGAGTGGATTGCCTGCGTCTGCGGGTTCCAGACCCACCCAGGCAACTTGGCAAGATCTCATCTCTACAATAAATAAAAAATGAGCCAGGCATGGTAGCATATTCCTGTAGTTCCAGCTACTTGGCAGGCTGAGGCGGAAGGATCACTGGAGCCCAGTAGGTCGAGGCTGTAGTGGCCGGGAGCATGCCACTGCATTCCAGTCTGGGCGACAGAGTGAGACTACAACTCAGAAAAAAAAAAAAAAAGATTCTTTCTTTCTTTATCCTTGACCTTTGAGACTTTGATTATTATATGTCTTGGGATAGTCTTTTTTTTTTTAAGTCAGGGTCTCACTCTGTCACTTAGACTGGAGGGCAGTGGCATGATCACAGCTCAGTGCAGCCTCAAACTCCAGTACTAAAATGATCCACCCTCCTCAGCCTCCCAAGTAGTTGGGACTGCAGACATGTGCCATGCCTGGCTAATTTTTTTGATTTTTTTTTCTTTTTTGTAGAGATAAAGTCTCCCTTTGATTCCCAGGCTGGCCTCAAACTCCTGGCCTCAAGCAATTCTCCTGCCTCGACCTGCCTTGGAGTAGTCTCATTTGAGTCAAATCTAGTTGACATTCTCTGACCTTCCTGTGCCTTAATATATTTATATCTTTCTCAAATTTGAGGAAGTTTTTAAAAATTTTCTTTGATTAATCTTTCTACCCCTTGTTCCTGTTCGACTTTCTCTTGAACTGCAATTATTCCTAGATTGGTCTTTTGGGATAATTTTCTGTATGTTGTAAATGATGGTTGTTGATTTTCTTTCTTTTTTTTTTAAATTTGTTAAGATTTGTTTAAGATTCTCATATGATCTACCTTAGAGAATGTTCTGTTTGTATTTGAAAAAAAATATGTAGTCTGCTGCTGTTGAATGAAATGTTCTGCCCATATCTGTTAGTTTCATTTGGTCTAAAGAATCTGAGTCCACTATTTCCCTGGATGATTTAGCCATTGTTGAAATTGAAGTTCCCTACTATTATTATATTGCAGTCTATCTCATACATAAGATCTATTAATATTTGCTTTATATATTTAGATGCTCGAGTGTTGTGTACATATATATTTTTAAAATCAGATTATTTATTTTAAATTATGATTTTAGACTTTTCACAATTTCTAATACAGAATGTTTGTTCATTGAACATCTAATTATTACAGGCTCCGGGTGTGGTGCCATTTGGTATCTAAAGGTATGAACATTTTTTCCCTAGGAACTTGCACTTAAGTAGAAAGGGTCTAAGAAGAGACAGAGAAACTGTTTGACCAGAAAGAGTGATGATGCTTGTGCTGAGACTTGAAGGATAGGCTACTATTCTTTTTAAAAATGACAGTCAGAAAAGGGTATTTAGGTAATGGCAGCAATATTAGTAGAATCTTGGAATGGCAGAATTCACATGCCACTCAGAGGTGGTTTTCAGAGTTTAGTTTCCTTGGAATATAGATTTTCCTTATGACAGTAATGAAAAATAATCCTAGAAAGAGAGGCCGAGCACAGTATATATGGTCCTGATTGCTAAGATTATTAGAGCATCTCTTTGGATATGAAAAATAAGAATCGAAGAAGAGACAAACTTCAGAGGAAATAATAAGTATTATTATTATTATTATTAGACATAAAGCACTTAAGAAAGAAACTGGTTTAGAGAGATGACACCATTATTTTTGGTGTATTTATGTGAGAGAGATTTATGCAAAAATGGAACATCAGACCAGAGCTTTAGCACAGTGGTTCAGTCTAGAAATGTTGGTTGGGAGGTCACTGTTGGTATCTTGAGAATCAATGAGCTGGACAGAGAGAGGTAAGAAAGATAAGCCAGCTTAGAATTGAGCCTCAGAAAAGATTGCATATGATGAACAAGAGGAGAAGACAAGGGAGGCTGGGAGACAGTGGTCAGAAAAATAGTATAAACAGAGTATTGCAATATCATAGAAACCAAGGGATAAAGGTTCCCCCACAAAAGGAGCCATGTGTTTTAAATACCTAGAGAAGAAGACAGTGAGTAGTTGAGGTGCTTTTGTTGTACTCAGCACCTCTGAGATTTTAGTGTCAGAGTATGGTGAGGCATACTAGCTAGCCTGCATGACTTTAAAGCAAGTCCTGGTGACAAGAAAGCTGTGGAGCTTAGTAAACTGAAAAGGGAAGACAATGGAAGCTTGAAGGCCTAGAAACTGGAGGGAAGTTTGTTTTGTTTAAGATTAATAAACAAAAATGTGGTATGTATGCACAATGGAATATTATGCAGCCATAAAGAAGGACAAACAAATGAACTTCACAGCAACTTGGATGGATTTAGGGTAGATCATACTCAGTGATCTATCACAGAAACAAAGAACAGAGTACCATATGTTCTCACTCATAAGTGGACCTTGAACAATTATCATAATACTATAAGAAAGGGATTGGCAGTAGTGGGAAACTGTCAGAGGAGAAGGGGTAGGATTGGCAGTTGAGGGAAACTGCTAGGGGAGAGAAGGGGCATACCTCATCAACAAGGATACCTGCATAATCAGTGTTTGTATACCTAACCCTGAATTGTGCCCCACATCTTTATAATAAAAAAAGAAAAACAAAGATTAATAAACCCACAAAACCTTAGAGTGATTAATAGACAGACACCAGGGAGAGTGATGAAAGAATACAGTTTAATTCTTAAAGCTGTACTGCAATACAATTTTTTTTTTCCTGCTTGCAGTGAGATGCATGGCCTTCTCTCTCTCTCTCTCTTTTTTTTTAAGTCAGGTTCTCACTCTGTCATTGAGGCTAGAGTGCAGTGCCATAATCACAGCTCATGGCAGCCTTGACCTCCTGGGCTCAGGCAATCCTTCCACCTCAGCCTTCTGAGTAGCTGGGACAACAGGTACCCACCACCACACCCAGTTAATTTTTTGATTTTTTTGTAGAGATGAGTTTTTGCTATGTTGCCCAGGATGATCTTGAACTCAAGCTGTCCTCCTGCCTCAGCCTCCCAAAGTGTTGGGATTATGGTCGTCAGCCACCTGCCTGGCTTGCATGGCCTTCTTGTGGAAGACATATTAGATGTAGTTGCTTATATTTATCTTTTGTCTTTTAGGAAAAAAATGTCAATATGAATATTTTCTGCCATTAATTCATTCATTTAGCAAAAGCTTACCAAATGCCTGTCCCAGGTATTATATGCTGGGTCCAAGAATCCAGCCATAAACAGAGTAGATATAGTTCTTGCCTCATAGCACTCATAGTCTGTTAAATTTAACTACTATTTAAAATTATTGCCTTTATTTTAGGTTCAGTTGCAGACTCTTCTTCAAAGCAAGCATGTAGAATATTTCATTGAGCAAATGTTAAGTTGGCAAAATAAGTTAAACATAGCAGACTCGGTCATCTTTACTTGGATGGAAGTTCAAAGAACTTGGTCTCACCTGGAAAGCATTTTTGTGTGTTCAGAAGATATTCGAGTCCAGCTTCCGAATGATGCTAGAAGATTTGATGGAGTGGATGCCGAGTTTAAGGTTTGTCAAGATAAGCTGTATTCTGTTCTGGCAAAGTTTTATAAGAACCATGATTCAGGGTATCATAGTTATAAAAATGATTACACTTTGTACTTCAGTAGCAGGAGTCAGGAGACATTTTCTGGAAAGGGCTAAGCAGTACATACTTTAGGTTTTGCAGGTCATGTACCCTCTCTTACACCTTCTCAACATTGCCATTGTAGCACGAAAGAAGTCACAGACGGTCCATAAACAAATGGGATGGCTGTATACCAATAAAGCTTTATTTATAGACATTGAAATTTGAATTTCACATAATTCCCATGTGTCACAAACTATGATGCTGCTTTTGATTTTTCAGTCACTTAAAAATGTGAAAATCAGTTTTAGTTTCTCATGTAAAAAACAGACAGCAGGCCATATTTTTCCTGTGGGCCATATATTGCTGTCCCCTGCAACAAGAAAGATAAATTCTTCATAGGTAAAAGGCTGAGAAGAGCCAACAGTTAAGAAATAATACTAGTTGGCTTTTTTTATTTCCATAAGAGCCACAGAAAGTACATGGTGATCTGCACATACTGATTTGAGAAACTGATATGAGAAACTTCTAGCAAAGAATAGTGGCCATACCTTTCTTATGAAAATAGGATTATATGCTTTTTTTCTTTCTACCTAAAGTAGAACTCCCAGATACATTCTGATTTGTTTACCTTTTTTTCCCTGATTTGGGGTCTTACTCTGTCACCCAGGCTGAAGTGCAGTGTCATGGTCACATCTTACTGTAGCCTCAACCTCCTGGTCTCAGGTAATCCTTTTGCCTCAGCTTCCTGAGTAGCTGGAACTATAGGCAAATGCCACCCAGCTAATTTTTTATTTATTTATGGTAGAGGCAGGTCTCACTATGTTGCCTAGGATGGTCTTGAACTTCTGGGCTCAAGCAATCCTCCCACATCAGCCTCCCAAAGTGCTGGGATTACAGGCATAAACCATCACCCCTGGCAAGTTTCACTTCTAAGGAAAAAAATAAATAGACTGCTTTGCTCTTTCTCATTCTTATATGTAAATGTTCTTTTTAAGATTCTGGGGTTTCTCTCCTTTCCCCCACATGCTCCTTCCTTCTCTCTCTCTCTTTCTTCTTTTTCCTTTTCTACTTTCCTTTCTTTCCTCTTTTTTGTTTGATTTAGAAGAGAGAAATTCTGTGGACCTAGGATCGTAGTAATGCTTATCAGATCTATTTTGATAAAAACTGTGTGATTATACACTGTTTTTGATTTTCATTTAGAAATTAAAAAGCAAAAGTGAACCTATGTGGATTCAGGAATTCCTTGAAGTCACTTTAACTTTGTTTCTTCATTGTTTGTTCTTTTTTTTTTTTTTATTTCCCCAATGATTAAAAATTTAGAATAGACATTTCTAATATCAATGGCACCATGTTATCCTTTCAAACAGGAGTTAATGTTCAAGACAGCCAAAGTAAAAAATGTTTTGGAAGCAACATGCAGACCTAATCTCTACGAAAAACTTAAAGATTTACAGTACAGGTAAGAACAGCACTATGTAAAGTGATCAATTTGCTGTAATTTTATGAAGCTTCTTTCACATATTGAATAGTATTTAATATATGTTATCATGGGTGCAAACTCTACTAAATTATTATAATTTTGCTTATAATTGTTAGTTTCCATGTACATATCAGATGGTACATATATGAGTTAATGTAAGTAGACTTGTTTTTCAATAGGCGTATTATAATAGTAAAACTAGAATATCTTTCTATTAAGATAAATGATATTGATCAATTCTTTTATCAAACTATCCTGCAAATATTGATTGAGCACCTACTGTATGCCAGAAACTGTGATTGTACTCAGTTATTGTAGTCCTTTAGTTTGTATAATTTCTTTTATTAGAAATTATCCTTAGTGGCCAGGTGTGGTGGTTCATGCCTATAATCCCAGTACTCTGGGAGGCCAAGGTGGGAGAATTGCTTGAGCCCTGAAGTTTGAGACCATCCTAGGTAACATAGCATCATCTCTTTAAAAAAAAAAATCAAAAAATTAGCTGGGCATGATGGCACACACTTATAGTCCCAGATACTCGAGAGGCTGAGGCAGAGGGATTACTGAGCCCAGGAGGTCAAGGCTGAGGTGAACCATGATCGTGCCACTGCATTCCAGCCAGGGTGACAAAGTGAGACCCTATCTCTAGAAAAGGAAAAAAAAAATCCTTAGATAGCATATTAGCACTTTTGGAATCCTTGTCTCAAAAGCCACTTGTAAAGTAATTTTCATATACGATTCTCCAACAGTCAGTGGTCATAAGAACATTCTAACTTTCAATTAAAAAGGACAGATAAGCTACTAAAATGACAAGTTTGTGTGAAATTGTGATCACTTCTTATTGCAAGGTGGTAAAAGACCTAGATAAAAATATATAATTACATAAACAAAACTATTGTATAATCTGAGAGTTTTTTTGAGATAAGAAGGGTAAATTTTCTACGGAAGTTAATTCTTTCTGTTTAGTCTATGATTTTGGGGGCTTCTGAGCTCTGCCTCAGGGTCGTTTTTACTCTGCTAAGGAAAATAAGATGGAACCAATTCTGGATCCTGTGACTCTTCTGAATGCCTGTGAGAGGGAGTCATTGTGTTTTGTTGACATTCAGTGGCAAAAAGAAGACCCTAAACCAATGACACCTTGCTGGTGCCTTTTGTGCTTATGCTGAGGATTGGCTAACCTGGTCTTCTCCACTGCTGTTAGGAATATCATGAAGAAAATCAGAGGGACATAAACCTAAGCCTGATCTAGTGATTGCAATTTGTGATGTGTGTATGTGTATGTGTGTGTGTGTGTCCTTGTCTCTGCTCTCCCTACTTGGCATGACGTGATATTATTCGCTAGCAAGATGATGAGGTCTTATGGAAGGACCCTGTTAAACACTGAGCTTACTGTGAGGCATGGACAGATGGCAGGCCCTAGTTTTGTTCTGTTGAAGTTTTAATGACTGAATGGACAAGATACGCTTAAAAAGGTTTTTCATTCTTACAGGCTTTCTCTCTGTGAAAAAGCTCTTGCTGAATACCTGGAAACTAAGCGTGTGGCTTTCCCCCGCTTCTATTTCATCTCTTCCACTGATTTGCTTGACATTCTCTCAAAGGGAGCTCAGCCTAAACAGGTAATGTTTTTTGAAAGTCTCATATTATACTGTTAGCTAAGGAATGTCACAGTCCCTCTGTCATTGTCAAATGCTACCTGTCACATCATATGTGCCAGGAACTAGAAAATCTGCTGTTAAAATTTGTAATGCAGTATCAGAGGGATGTCGGGAGGTAGGAGGACTCACTGCCCACTGCCTGGTGCTCAGCAAAGGGGAATGATATTAAATGTGTGAGCCTGGGGCCCTGAAAGATAACGATGGGAAGAAACACTGGCTCCAAATCCACCAGAATTCCAAGACGAGGGATGGAGCTTCCTCGCCCAGGTAGCAGGTTTCCTTGAGGAGAATGGGTCACTTGGAATGAGATCATGGCTGGTGTGCCTTCTTGCTACTCCCTCAACTCCAGAACAGCCTTCATAAATATGACATTGGACTGATCTTCAGTGCTGAGTTGGATTTATACAATTTCAGGTTCACCCTCTCTAATTTTCCCTTATATCTACAAAAATAATGCACTTTCTGTTGTTGATTCCCATGTCAATATTTAGAGCACATAAAAGCCAATATCTTGTGTAATCTGAGAGCTCAGAGCAGAGACAAACTTAGCACAAATTCCAAAGCCCTTCTTTCTGTAAACTTCCAGAAGACTTTGCCTTTCACTTAGACCTACTCAACTGTTCCCATTCACTTAGATCTTACAGTTGTTACAGCTGACTCAAGTGGTCACTTCTAGCATAGACTGCAGATTGCAGATTATTTTGAAACTGAAGCATGTGTTATAATTGTGGAGTGTCCTCTGTGTTCTTTTTCTTGGAAACAAATTTTTCTCTAGATATTTTTGTGCCATTTTCTTTAGAATATGTGTCTATTTGCACTGCAGTTTCCTGAGTGTTGCTGTTCTTTGGATGCGTATTTATCTTAATTATTTCTCTCTTGCTCATCATTTAACTTTAAACCCAAATTCAGGTGGACAGTTATTCTTATTATTGATGATACTGGTGCAGTCTTGCTATTAATAGCAGGATTGTTGGTCCACTTGGGTGGCATTTTCATGGTCACCATTCAGGTATTCTTTCTATAGTCAAGCTGATTTCTAGAGGGCTTTGCAAATAAATCAGTTTGATTAGATTGACCAGGAACCCATCATATTCATTTCTTACATACTTAGGTAGTGCATAATTAGATGTGTTAATAACAATTAATCTCAAACATAACAGTCCTAACCACACTTATGCTCCAGTAGTCCCCTGGGGATATCCCCATGACCGGTAGCTGGGCCTTCTGCCCAAGGTGATTGTATGAGAATAGGGATGTCATATTCCATTCAGGTACATGTTCCTTGAAGAGCTTTCAAGTCCAAAATGCTATAATGCAAAATGGATTTTCAATAAGTAAATGTGAAGAGAGATGCATAAATCTGTAACTGGGATAGCATTCTTTTTCTTTTAATCATACTCTTTCAACACAATAAACACTTGTGCAACTGATTTATTGGGCAATTTTAATTCCGTGAAATGACAGTCATGAAACATCTTTCTTTTTTGGTGGTTACTAATCCCACACGTGCCTAGCTGAATCTGTTTACACTGGTAGCAGACCCCTTCATAAAAGCTTGGGCAGATATCATAATTTCCTGGTCCCCTTTTCTGACTAAAGAACAAATAAATCAAAAACAGCTCATCAAAGTCTAACTGGAGATTTCCATCTCACCTCCCATCAAGGTGAGACTTTCATATAGGAACTTGGGGCTGGGAGGGAGATGTCAGCTTTTTCATTCCCCCTCCTCACCTATTATCATAGGGAAGGGCTTACGGATATGACCTGCCCTTCATTGCCCTCTCTTAGTGATTGCTCCTGCTTCTCTGGCCAGTAGTGACTGTCTACCTTGACTCTCAGCGGTGAGTGTCCACATGCTGGGTCTCTGGTGGAACACATGTGCGAGGGGACAAAGGGAACCTCCCCAAGGATACACCTGGCAGTCACCTCATCCTTCTAGTTCTTGCCTTTGGCGGTGTAACCAGCCAATTGGTTTTATCTTCTTCCTCCTTTTCTGCCCAGGCAGATGTCCAAACAAGGGGCACATGGAAGATTCACTTCTTGTAGGCACCTGTGGTTTCTGTGAGTGATTCTCCAGCTCCCTCTGACTTTAGGGTGGGGCTGGAGGACACATTCCTTCACCTTACCCACAAACAGGGAGTGAAACACTGTGGCCTTCCGCTCACCCCCCAGGCTGAGAACTTGCCATTGTGAGGGCGGCCTCCTTTTCTCCCCTATTCCCTTTGGTACTTTTTGTAGAGGGAATGTGTGGAGGTGGATGAGGGTAGGGTGTTAAGAGGTGTCTTAACAGACCCTGGAGGGACTAGCCCATCCTAATCTTCATCTGCCTCATCAGAATGTGCACCTACCCAATGCCTCTTTGTCCTTCCCTGAAGCCCTAGGCTGGCGCTGGAGGAACAGAAAACTCAACATATCCTTGTCACCAACTGTCTTCACCCTCCTTTTAAATAATCAACAAATGCTTCGTGCCTTTGCCAAACATGTTGATTCACAGTACGTGCATCCCTGATGCCAACTGATTTTGCAAACTCCGGTGGCATGCTTTTTGCATTCTTTATATTTTTGCAGTATGACTTCAATATTTCACTACCTTCTTTATTATCAGGATGACTTACTATAGTGTACCCTCACCTACCTCATTCATAGCATTTTAATCATACATTCTAGATTCCTGAGTCCCAGGTGCATTGATCAGTACAAGTACTAGTACTGCCTCTGTAATGAGTCCTAGATAATATAATATATTAAAAAGATTTTAAATTATGATGAAGCTGAATGTTAAAAATCACAGCTTGGAGCTCTCCAAGATTCCTCACAGCTGTGCTGATGAACGCCACCATACTAACAAAAGGAGGTGTGTATTTTTGCTCACCAGCTAAAGGGGACCGCCATGTGGCTATAGTGTACACATGGTTTAGCATTCCGACCTACAGCTTTGACATTATTAGCTTTTGGTATAGTTTGACATTTTGAAGAGAGTCATATGATCACAAGTTGGGCTCAAAATGTGATTTCATTGAGGTCTTTCTGCTTGTACTACTTAAACTCTGAACAACTTAAATTCACATAAAATGCGATCACACTGTTACTAAAGGTCCATTATTCAAAAAAGTGTTTAGCAGTCTTTGTGGTGCAAATAACCACCCAAGGGTGACTTGTTGGGGCAGGGGATTGAGAAGGAGCTAAGGGCAATTTGAGTTACCTAGCACCATCGTCAGCTTCTTTTTCTGAAAGAAATGGGTCTGCCAATTCAACATGGATTCTGAATTCTTGGCCCCTGACTATGGAATAGTTAATACTTTTGACTGTTATGCCTGATAGTGTGGCCTTGCTATATGCTCTTACCCTCTTTTCAAGATCAGAATCAGTTTCAGACCACCAGACACAGCTTTCCCATCTCTGCCTTTTGTGCTAACATTCCTGAATGTGCTCCCTGTAGTGTGACCGAGATAACATGGCAACTGTAGCTTGTGGAGTAACAATGCCACTTCCCCATAAAAGGCACCCTTCGTGGGCAGATAACTCATCTTGACAACTTGTGAATGACTTGAATTCTTCAGCACCGCCTCCCCACCCACCCACACTCAATTTAAGAGTGTTGGTGCAAGTGAGAGATTCTGCAGTTAATTGTGGAATTTGATCAGCCTGAGCACACCAGCCGGGGAGGTCTGATACCATTACAACCCCCATTCTGTAACCAGAAATCACCAGTTTAAGATATTGGAGTTGGATTGTCAGAGTGATAAGATGGTGTGTCTAAAATGCCTTCAGTGGTTATTAGCTGTTGATGAACTTGGTTAAGGTCAAGTTTTAAAAAATGCATCCCCCACCCCAAATTCAGTCTGGCCTTCCAAGGACATGGATTATCTAAAGGATAGTAGATACTGATACTGTTTAACTCCAGTGGTAAATTGCTGTGGAAATAAGACTGGTAGTTGCTGTGGAAATAAGACTCGCGGGTGAACTTGAAGGATTCATTGGCATGGTGTGATAGTTATGTGAAGTTGGTTTGAATTCCTTACATGTTTCAGTATTAGCATTCTTTGATTTTTTTTCCCTTCTTAGAAAAAGATCTATTTGTATTTTTCAACTGAACTAGTATAGTGGTTAAAGTCAGACAAAATGATATCCATTTACCCTTTTGCGTCCTTTTAGGTTGTTACACACTACCTTAAAATAACTGATGACCTTGGGTAGTCAAGATGTTTTAACCACTGATTTCTAATGGTGTGAATGGTCTTTTTGTCCTGGAAGCGTTTGTGTATTTTCTCTTCCCTCATCCATTATGAGATGTTTAGTTTATCCTTGAAGATTAGCTTACGAGATGCTTTGTCATGATGGAGCCATACCAACCAAAGATAGGCTTTCAGTGTTTCAGTGCGATCAGCTCTGCTTATGCTTCTAAAGGGGGTAGTCCTGAGCTTTGTGTGGCTATTGAGCTCCTGAATGAGGCAACTGACTTTTTAAAATTTTATGAAATTTTAATTGATTTAAACCTAAAAACGGATATTCGATTCAGTTACTGGAAAACGTTAAGTGTGTTTGAATCAACTTGGGTGTGTGAATCTACCACTGTGCCTGCATATTTCATGAGATCTAAATACAGATCATGTATTTCTGATGAAAAGTCCAAATTGAGATATGCTATAAATATAAAATGCACACCTGGTTTTAAAAACTTGCTACAAAGAAAACAATGTCAAATATCTGAAAAAATGTTGATATTCATTCTGTGTTGAAATGGTAATATTTTGGATATACTAGGTTAAATTTAAATATGTTAAAATTAATTTCACCTTAAAAAACATTTTAATGTGTCTGCTGGAAAGATGCAGCTATGGAAATTGAGGTCACAATATGTATTTAAAATGACAAGATCAGAAATACATATACTCAAGAACGCTTAATGTTTGCATCAAGAAATGCCCTTCAAGGGCATCCACTCAGATCCACACAAAGAG